GAGGATGTCAGAGGGACGGTGAGGGGGAGGAGGCGTTGCACGCTCATTAAAAACCAGTGGGATTTTTGAGAGAATGGAAGGATGGATTGGCATGGGCGAAAGGGACTACTTAGTAGGAACATCCAGTCTGAGGGAATAAGGTGATAATTGCAGTAATGTACAACCCACACAGAAACTGTGGAGGCCAAGAGAGAATACGATGAGAGAAACAGAGCATTGAAGCACTGATCGACACACTAGCGAGGTGGCCAGGGAGGAGCACACTTGGGGGGGAGCAAACGTTACTTGGTTATGGGTGATTCAATCGACAAGGAGATTGATGGAAAACCTGGAGCCCCATGGAGGTCCCAAAACATGGAGAGCCAAGATGATGGATGGTGGTATGGAAACCTCATGCATCAACATGTTAGAGGCACTACTCAGAGAGAGAGGAGAGGTTGAACCAGCAAGCTGGACCTTGGATTCACGATGAGTAGTTCGGGACAATCGAGGGGTATCATGTATGAATAGGCCCTGGGAGTCTAGTGATTCCACTTGTGGTTCTGTTGCTTCGGACTACATAGTTGAGCTCCTAGGTGGAGAGAGTAGCAGGAATAGGCTGGGGAAAAAACAAATACAAATAGGGGGGAATTACTCAGGATGAGGAAACTTCCTTCAAGACATTCAGTGGGAGAGGGAACTGGACAGGAGAAAAACCTGTACAAGAAATGATGATGGACTATGTAGCAACAAATGCCAAGGGAGGCAGAGAGGGAGAGGTTTGTTCCCAAGGGAAACAGAAATAATGGGAAAGACAGAACGAGTCCTTGGTTCACCCAAAGGTTGTAGGGCGGCAAAAACTAAGGTGTACTAGACAATGGAAAAGGTACAGAAGACAGAGAACTCAGGAAATAAACGAAATCAGCTCGAAAAGAGCCAGAAACGAATATGCCACAGATAAGAAGGGAGGCTAAGAGCAATATGAAAATGACAAGCATCAAAAAAGTAAAAGACTGACCCGAAGTGTTTGTACAGCCACATCAGGCTGGAAATCAAACAGTCATGGACCAGGGTAATCAGACTGAGGAAGGGGTGATGGGCCAATTCTCAAGAAACGTCCAAGAGGTATGTCAGGAGCTCAATCAAGATTTAAAGAGGTTAGTTACTGTGGAAACCAGTAGACTCCAGGAAATCATAACAGACAAGGGGGCAACAGCAAGTGCTGGATGAGGTACATATAACCAAGGAGGAGGTTGAAGAATGCTGCTATGCGCACTTGAACAACCTCAAAAGGCGGTGGGACAGACAACATCTCTCCATGGGTCCTTTAAAAGAGCGGAGGGGGGCCAGAGATATTGTGTGAGCCATATTACAAAGATCTCAACACATCATTTGAAAACTGGGCAACTCCCTGAGGTATGGATAATGGCAAATGTGTCCCAATTTTTAAAAAGGGAGACAGCAGAGGCACTAAACTACGAAGACCTGTATTCACAAGTGTATAGTATGCAAGGTCATGGAGAAGATCATCAGGGGGAGAGTGGTGGAGGCACCTGTTGAAAGAAACAAGGTGTATAATTGACAACCAGCACGGTTTCAGGGAAGGAAATCCTGGGTCACAAACCTACTAGAGTTTTTTGACAAGGTGACAGAAGTAAGACAAGAGAGTGAGGGGTGGATCGACTGCATATTTTTCGGACTGCAAGATGGCCTTCGACACAGTTCCTCACAAGAGGTTACTGCAAAAGCTAGAGGAATCAGCACACATACAGGAAAGTCACTGAATGGATCAGAGAAATTACCTGACAGAGGAGGCAAACAACGAGTATGGTACGCGACGAGGTGTCAGAGTGGGCGCCTGTGACAAGGCGGGTTTCCACAGGGGTCAGTCCTAGGACTGTGCTGTTCTGGGATATGGGAAACGACCATAACGGGAAGGATAGACTCAGAAAGTGTTCCTTGTTTGCAGGATGATGCGAAGTTAAGAGAAGAATCAATCGAGATGAGGCATAGGCAGAGACTACAAAGGACTGGACTGGCTAAAGCTGGTCCTGCAACTGGCTCCTTGAATTTAACCCTGCAAATGCAAAGTCATGAAGATTTGGGGGAAGGGCAAAGAAGACTGCAGACACAATATAAGTTTACGATGGCCAAAGACTGCAAAGACCTCACTCAAGGAAAAAGTCTGGGGGTGGGATAACAACGCAGCCATATCTCTGAGGCGAACATCAATCAGATAACTGCTGGCAAGCAAAAGGGCGCCTGGCAAAACCTCGTAGTGTCGATACTCAGTAAGGATTCGTTTAAAGGACTCTGTATACATTTGGTCAGGCCCATACTGGGTATGCAGCACCAGTTTGGAATCACACTAGTCAAGCATGTCATGAAATTAGAGAAGTGACAAAGGTTTGCAAACAAGACCTAGTCCCAGAGCTACGGGATTGTCCTACGAAGAATAGGTTAGGGAATCGGCCCTGACGACACTGGAGGACAGGTGGGTCAGGGAGAATGATTAACGACTTATATAATAATGCGCGGATTAGACAAGGTGGACAAGAAAAACGGGATCTGTTCCAGAGAAGGGTCACAGACACAAGAGGTCACTGTTGGAGTTGAAGGACTCAGATGAATAAATGGGATGTTAGGAAGTTTTCTCAGTCATAGAGTGGTCAGGCCCATGGAATAGCCCAGAAAGTGACGTAGTGGAGGCGGGGGGGAACCATAAATAGTTTTAGGCGGGTTGGATGAGCTCATGGGGCAGGGATAGAGAGAGAGAGGACCTTGTAGCAATCAGCGAAGAGCAGGGCGGGGCTCAGGAGCTGTGACGCGACCCCTGCACCACATATAGGTGAGTACCAATAGGTGAGTACACATGTCTCTGACATTGTATTGTGTGCAAGTCATGCAGAAAATTATCAGGAGGAGAGTGGTTCAACACCTGGAATGGAAAACAATCCGATTATAAATGAAAACCAGCAGGGTTCATGGGAAGGCAAATCCTGTATCACAAACTCTGGAGTTTTATGACAAGGTAACAAAAGTAAGACACGAGAGAGAAGGGGTGGGTAGATTGCGTTTTCATAGACTGCAGAAGGGCTTTGACACAGTTCCCACATGAGATTATGTGCTAGAAGCTGGAGGATTCAGGCGTCATGTAAAAGGGAGGGCACTGCAATGGATATAAGGGATACCCTGACGGGAGGCAGCAAGAGTCATGGTACGTGAAGGAGGTATCACAGTGGGCGCCTGTTACGAGCGGGGGATGGTTCCCACTGGGTTCAGTTCTTGCGACCACGTGCTATTTTTTGATTATATGTGAACGACATGTTGGAAGGGAATAGACTCTGAAGTGTCCTGTTGCAGTTGACGTGAATGGATGAAGAAGAATTAAAATCGGACGAGGATGGGCAGGACTGCATAAAAGAGACCTGGACAGTGGAATGTGGTCCAGTATCTGGCCTTCTCGAATTTTTAATCCAGCCAATGCAAAGTCAGGAAGATTGGGGTTGGGCAAAGATGACCGCAGACAGAGTACAGGCTAGGTGGACAAAGACTCAGACCTCAACTCAGGGAGAAAGAGAATGACCTTGGGGAGACCATAAACCGAGCACATCACGGAGGCACACATCACCAAAATAACTGCTGCAGCATTCGGGGCCTGGGATACCTGAGAAGAGCGTTCCTGATTACCATTAATAAGGAATAGTTCAAGACACTGTACACTGGTGTATGTTAGGCCCATACTGGGTATGCAGCCACCAGTCTGGAACCCACCACCTGGTCAAGCACAGTAGAAGTTAGAGAAAGTACAAAGGTTTGCAACAAGGGCTTGTCCAGAGCTCATGGGAATGTCGTACGGGAAAGTTATGGGAAAGCGGACTGACGACACTGGAGGCCAGGAGGGTCAGGGGAGGGATTATTTTCATATAGTCGGACTTGAGTCCTGGAAATGGGAAGTACAATGCCTGCACTTTAACGGAGGGGTTTGGGATATTGGCAGTTTGGAGGGATGTGTTGTGTATCTTTATACGTATATGCTTCTAAACTGTTGTATTCTGAGCACCTCTGCAAAAACAGTGATAATTTGTGAGTGTGGTGAAAGTGTTGAATGATGATGAAAGTATTTTCTTTTTGGGGATTTTCTTTCTTTTTTGGGTCACCCTG